GGGGATAGGTGTACACAGAAATAAAAATAAAATGCATTGACAGGTTAAAATATGTAGTCAGCACATAAGCTCGGGATTCCTCGGGAGATGTGTACACAGCGCATGTGTTCAATCATAGTAGCATTTAGTATAGTGCGATAAAAACAACAACAACAAAAAAAGCTTATTTGGAAAACCGTGTAAAAGCGAAAACGTGTAAAACAAGTACCGTGTAAATCGGGGGATAGGTGTACTCGAAAGCTTGAGAGATCGTTTATCCAAGAAAGCAGTGTGTTGTTACACCAGTTAGTGTGTTAACAGTGGTTAACACTACCCACCATGATTATCATTGGCTTGTGGGAAGAGAAACATCATTTACCGTAGCCCAGAACAAATGGTGGCCATTCCATTTGTTGTTGGAAGTAATTCCTTACCAACGGAAGATGAATGATCAGGGAACTGTGAAATATCGAGGGAAGGGATTTGAGCCTTTTCTTTGTGTGTTCCCAATAAATAACACATTTAATTGTCTTTTCTAGAAGTCTTGTAACATTTATACCTGTGTGTGTGTGTGCCTCACAATCTCTTCTATATATTGATTGAAGTGAATGGAAGTGGAAAGTCTTTGATATCGCCGGTCGTCATTTCTGTTGAAGGAGGTAACATTTCTACCTGTGTCCCACTCATAGTTACAATCTCTTCTATAAATATATATTGATTGTAGAGTGAATGGACAAAAATTAAAAAAGTTGGAAAGTCTTTGATGTCGTCGGTCGTCTATTCTGTTAAAGGAGGTAACATTTCTACCTGTGTGTACCCCTCACAGTTACAATCTTTTCTATAAATATATATTGATTGTGTAGTGAATGGACCAAAATTAAAAAAGTTGGAAAGTCTTTGATATCGTCGGTCGTCTATTCTGTTAAATGAGGTAACATTTCTACCTGTGTGTACCCCTCACAGTTACAATCTTTTCTATAACTATATATTGATTGTAGAGTGAATGGACAAAAATTAAAAAAGTTGGAAAGTTTTGATGTCGCGCGTCGTCTATTCTATTGGAGGAGACAGAATAAATTTTGTTCACACTTGGTTATCTTGTGTGTCTTCAATAAAGTTCACAGTGTATCAAATAACTTTCAGAGTTATTGTCCCATACATAAAATGCGTTGTTATTATTTGTTTACATATATATAGTTTTGAAAATAGAGCAATCCATATTTAATTCATTAGATAATAAAAAGGCATATATTGGATTTAATAAAATATTTATTTTGCCAATATTTCGGTTGGCTGAACGCCAACCTTTATCAAGGCATTACATCTTTGTATACACAAACTCAGCGCCGCATAGTGTTATAATATCACAGTTGAAATCATTTAAAATACAAAGTAAGTGGGGGAAATTTGTGCATGAAAAAAATATTCAAAAATTACAATCAGAATAAGTTAAATTTCTTTAAAATATTAAAGGAAAAATAATGAGGTCTATCTTATATTTTAAAATAGTTGTGATAAGTACATAAAATATAATTCATTAAGAGATAAATGTAAAAATATATGTATCTATTAAAACATTTGAAAATAATTTAAATATATGTCTTTTTATTATCTAATAAATATATATAGTTATTTATTATCCCTAGTACATACGTGGTATAGGCCATGATAAATCATGGGAGGTAGAATTTGGCGACTGCTTTTACTGTAAGTGCACCACATATATATAATAGTCACGACCGTCTTTCCTCATCGGCCTCTGTCACGGATGCGCGCGCACAGGGAGGTCACGTGCTCGCCGGCAGCCAAAAAAAAAAAAAAAACTCTCTCGAGCCGGATTTGAACCAGCGACCTAAGGATCACCGTTGTAACATCTACAGTCCTCCGCTCTGCCAACTGAGCTATCGAGGGATACAAACTATATGAATAAGTTTACCTTATAAATTCAACTAATCCTATTTCTACACAAAATGTACTCATACATATATTATATTATATTATATATATAGTCACGACCATCTTTCCTCATCGGCCTCTGTCACGGATGCGCGCGCACATGGAGGTCACGTGCTCGCCGGCTCCCTCGAGCCGGATTTGAACCAGCGACCTAAGGATCACCGTTGTAACATCAACAGTCGGGTAAAACACGGGTGTTGCCCGGGTCATTCGGCTAGTGTCTACATATGTAGAAAACAGTTCGACTTTTCCCTAACAAATGTGTCAGAGTCACGTTTGGTTACTTGCACTCGCTGGTGGGATTTGGACTTTTGCAAGAATCGGGGAAACATTTAGGCCTATTTTTAATTAGAAAAAAAAAGTGGCCAACGCGGGATTCGTTCCCGGGTCGTAGCGGTCGAAAACCAACGGTTTAAACCATCCTTCCACTGGCCCTTATATTTACACACAGTTATACTAGTATATAATACCGCACGCTCTATGTAAATGAGTTTTAAATAAAAGTATACGTTGATTGGCTGATTAAGGTCATGTGACAGAAAAGAACCAATCATCGCGCAAATAAAATACCCATATAACCCAATAGACAGTAAACTGTCTATATATTAGATCGATTTATAAAATAACATTACAAACAAATCATACCATTATATAAAATAGTTTAACAAATAGTTATTTACACAAGAATTACCATTTTCTAGAGACAATTTATCAAAATAGAACATTCAGACCTAAAAGTGATGAATAGAGATCCAAAATTGATGGGAAAAAGATCAAAAGTACAGTTGGTACAAGACTGAAAATGCCATTTATTTATTTAAACACCGAGAATAGAGGCAAGAATCAATTTTAACACCCCGAGCTATTTTTTTCACACCCTCGCACTCCTGAATATATTTGAGAAAATATTGATTTTTTAACCATTTGAAGAATGGATCTACTATTTCTGTGAAGTTTTCTCAAACTTTATTTCAGTAGTTGTATTCTTTACTAACTTTTTTATTTTATTTTTTTTAATTTTAAACACATTTATGAGATTATTCTTTTAATTAAATTATATATACATATATATAAAAATATTATTTTATTTTAAATTATAATTTCATAGATTCAAATACTCTGCTAAATCGACTGCCAGAGGTCACTCTTCCCCTATAAAAATTCGTTGTTGTTGTATCCCAATGGCTTTCCCGGCCGATGCATTTTTCCCCTGCTTGCCCAACGTTTCCACCACCCCTGCGAGACATCTCCTGCCGCCAGATCCTAGGGTCCCCTGCCACCTGACATCGAGTTTGGGCTCAAAAATCATAACTTTTGGTTAGTAGCCCGTAAAAACATATTTTCTCTATCCCAATGGCCGGCTCAAAACTTTTGTACATTATGTAAATAATCTTTTGTTTTCCTTATTCTACTCGCCTTAAGCCAGGCATTACTTTTATCAAATTATGTTCTTTTATATATTCCTTTAGTTCAATTAAAGAAATCTCTGATCTTCAATATTATTAGTATTATTATTCTCTCAAGATTTAACCACGACTGCATTACCATAATCCTCAACATGATCTAAATTCAAGCAGGAAATCTCATTCATTTTTATATAACATATATATATATACATATACTTGTTAATTGGCTCGTTGTATTAATGACAGAATAATGTTTAAAAATCAACGAATAAACAATACTTAAAATTATACCGCATAAGTTTCTTTTCCACGAAAAATCAATATTTATTTCAAAGAGAAATATTTACTATTTCTAACTTTTTGAATGAAGTATGAGAAGGTGAAAATATGAAGAGTAATGGCGAACGGGAAAAATAAAAGTGTCCAGGGGCGGGAATCGAACCCTTATTTTTCCCGTTCGCCATTACTCTTCATATTTTCACCCTCTCATACTTCATTCAAAAAGTTAGAAATAGTAAATATTTCTCTTTGAAATAAATATTGATTTTTCATGGAAAATAAACTTATGCGGTATAATTTTAAGTATTGTTTATAATCACACGCCACAGTTCTTTATAATGAATCAACAAATAGTTGATATTTATTCCTATGGATGGCGCAAGCCATCAGCAACTTTCAGTTGCACGATAAAGAGAAATATGACAGAGTTAAGTAACACATTTTAAATAACACACATTTTATAATGTGAAAAAATATTCCTTTTTTTCACATTGTTTCGCGGTCTCATACAATTCTGACCTTAACTATCGGTTTCATGATTTTTCAAGATGCCTGAATGACCCAGTTTATTTGGTCGTTAAAGTACAGCTTGCACCACGCTGACGAGGGCCAACAGCCCGAAACGCGTACGTGGTTAGCTTTTATTAATTAATCAAGAATGGGTATTTGGCCAATTCTGGAATAATTAAAAATCAAAGAATAGTTGATATTTATACTTGTTGTGGGTCTATGTTACAAAAAGAACAGCCAAATAAGTGATTTTATAAATACGTATATGATTATTATTAGATATAAGGATAGATATGTTTACAAAAGAATAACAACCGTACACAGCACTAGAACAAAGGCAGTCTTAAGATATAAACAAGGAAGGAGACTGACGGTTGAGGTGGGCCGTTCCCATTGGTCAGTTCATTTTCATGCAGCGCCTCCAAGCGGCGCCCGTGTCCACGCTTCTCTCATCAATACTGATAGATGGCGCAAGCCATCAGCAACTATGAATTGCACGATAAGGAGATGCTTTTTTTTAACACATATTTTATATGATGCCTTAATGACCATTTTTTTGGTCATTGAGGTACAGCTTGCACCACGCTGATGAGGGTCAACAGCCCGAAACGCGTCCGTGGTTAGCTTTTCTTGATTAATCAAGAATGGGTATTTGGCCAATTCTGGAATAATTAAAAAATCAATCAATACTTGATATTTATTCCGATAGATGGCGCAAGCCATCAGCAACTTTTAGTTGCACGATAAGGAGATGTCTTTTCCTTAACACATATTTTATATTATATAAAAGGGCGTACCTGGATCTGTAAAAAAAAAAAAAACAATTTTGTGCAAAACAATTGTGCGATAAATTGATAAAGAGGGAGCAATCTCTCGAAATATTTTAAGCTAAGTTGGCAGATCGGAGGACTGTAGATGTTTTAACGGTGATCCTTGGGTCGCTGGTTCAAATCCGGCTCGAGAGACTTTAAAAAAAAAAAAAGTCGGTGGATGAGTGGGTAACCCCCTCGATTCCCGACAGCCATGAACCGGGATTGAATCCCGCGTTTAAATTTTGTTTAATATTTGAATAACCTTCACATATTATTCATTGTTCAATTATCATGAACTAGGTTGCTCTTGCTGAGCGGTACCTATTTATGTGATTTGAACCAGATAAAAAAAAAACTTTTTTTTTCTTTACAGATCCAGGTACGCCCTTTTTTATATAATCTTAATTAATG